TTTTTCTATCGTAATAATCAAATTCATGCAAATCGTATTATAATATTGACGTGTCTTAAAAATGTTTCGAAATACACTCGAGCAATCCGAGTTCGATCCCTGATGCTTGCACCAAAGAAACAGTTAATTTAAATTACTTACTTTAACATCATGAGCAAACCTGTATATTTTAGAAATAATAAAGAAAGAAAAATTCGTAAGTATGCGAAGTCCGCCAATCCGCAGTGTGATCGCGTGGTGGACTATGCCCTAATACCGTCTGTACAGAGGAGGCCCCTGCCCAGCTGTGGGACATTTATAGGCTGTTACTTTACTTTTACGAGGTTTTACATGTGTATATTAACATATGCGTATATAACCATGTTTATCTACGTAACAAACTCCATTTCACAACAGTAACCGTATTACTGCGCGTGCAAATAATAATAGGCGAGGAGGAAAACACTACATAACAGATTATCGAATCAGACAATGGGCGAACCGATCAGGCAATCGACGTTGCTTCGATGTATAAACAAAAACGTGTGAAAGCTAACAACTAATTGGCATCTAACATGTCATCATATAATGTACGAATCGATTTAATCATCGGATAATAGCAAAAAATGACATTTGGAGAGGACAAATTAGCGGTTCTTAAGTGTTGTCAAGTTTCATACAATGGAGAGGACTTGTTGCACACGACGACATTTATAATGGGATTCTAACCTGAAACTGTTTTATTTCTTTATTAATAGCGAAAGGACATTTATCAAAGTTGTTGTACACCTTTTGTATAGTTTATTACGTATCAAAATTAAGGGTGGTGTACTTGTCGCCATTCAAGAAGCAAAAACTGACATTAGTTTCTTATCACGTAAAATGTCTTTAAAATATTTAACTAGCTTAAATGTATATATAGAACTGGAGATTTGTGATTCCCGTATCACCGACGCGGCGATCCAAATTTATATTTATCGCTCTACAAATGTCATAACAACGCCATCATTGGCATTTCACAAACAATACTTCGCCATTTGGCATTAAATGGATTGCTTATAAATTGGGCATTGTGTCTAGCATTAAGTTGTCATATGACAAATGCTCTACTTAGGAGTTATTGATTTTTGCAATAGCCCCAGACAGTGTTGAAGGAGTTATGTGTAACCGAGGTGGGGACGCGCGACAGTGTTCGCTGTTGCACGAATGGGCAGGTCCGTCCGGGTAAGTACCACGAGCTCACAGAAGACCGGCGTGAAGTGGAAGTGTTAAATTTCTGCGTTCCGTCTGGTGAGTGAGGTAGCCGGAGAACTTTATAAAAAGACCGCAACGCATCTTCAATTATACGGGTGTTGCAAATGTAACTTATTATAGTAAAATTGTGTAGCAAGAACGTTTTATAACCTCCTTATGTCAGTGGCTATTGAAATTCTATTAGTTTTTTTTTTTTTTTCACTGTATCGAATTGTACACAAACACAACTGACCTGTCGACTTTTTGCCGTTTGGGTTTTTTAGCCACTGTCCCAACAAAAACAGCATGCGTCGACAACGGGAGCGTGCGTAAATTGTATTTATGATACTGGGTCGTTGAAAGCTTGTTTGATTGCAGGTCATTGCCACGTTATCAATTTTTTTTCATGTAACCTATTGTGGCGGTCGTAAACCTATACCCTTCATATATATCTGTAATAGAGAATACACATCGTGTTAACTGTGGTAGAGCCACGAAACTGTCTTCGCTGTTGCAAGAACGGGCGTCTCCGCCCGGCACCACGACCTCACAGGAGACCGGCGTGAAGTAAATTGTTATACTTCTGCGTTTCGTCTGGTGAGTGAGGTAGCCCGGCTATCCATTTTATTAAAAGGTTAACATGAATATTTGAAACACCCCTAGTGTTTCAAATGTTCATGGGCGGTTATCCCTCAGCGTCAGGTGAACCGCGCGTTCGCTTGCCACCGTCCCACATAAAAAATGGAATTAGAAAGCACCGCCAGAAATTTTAATAATTAATTGCTTCATCAAGTGTGTATTCATTTCTGATCCTCTTTGAAATAGTGCTATGAGATAAAATGATTATTTATAGTTCCTATCTCTCTATTGAAGATGAAACTTATAATGTAATAAAAAAACAAGACAAGACATCCAGTTTTTCTTGAGGTGAAGATAGTGACCGCTAAAATTGTGGCTTGGCGCGTAACCCAGAAGGCGCTCCTTATTTCTATTATTTATTTATATAATTCTATCAATTTCTATTATTTTATATTTTAGTGTTTTTAGATTCATATGTTTTTTTCGGGTTCCGTACCAAAAGGGTAAAATGGGACCCTATTACTAAGGCTACGCTGTCTGTCTGAAAAGTTATCACGCGAGCAGGTGGTTCACCTCATGTTAAACGATTACCACCGCGCATGGACATCGGCAACACCTGAGGACTTGCGGATGCGTCGACAACAGTCCATAGACTATTAAGCTACATTGAACGCAGATCAGAAGCCACGGGTTTGAGGCCCTCCTGAGAGGGTAGGGCCGCGCTTGTACTCATGCGTGCGTTAATTATGTCATGTCGCCTACGGGCCATCGAGGTTCGGTGGGGACCATGAACCCTATGGCCGTTGACTGTGCTTGGTTAGTCGGTGGCTGGAGGCGGTGAGAACCGTCCCTGGAACGCGGGTGTATCTAGTGTGCGTGTTGTGTAAAACAACCTTCTAAAAAGTGCGCAGTTTCGCGTACTTTCGCGCTTGTACCTCATTTTTTTTTTCTTTGAGTACCTCACTAACCAGACGAGTATAATACTTTAACTTGACGCCGGTCTTCTGTGGCCGTGGTAATTCCCCGGGTGTGCCAGCCCATTCGTGCAACAGTAGAATCTGCTGCATCGCCACTTACCATCAGGTGGGATATCAGTCAAGCAACATAGTACAGTATAATTTACCTATATCCAATATTTACGACATTAAATGTAACTAAATTACATATTATCTAAACCTAGTCCAACGCTAGAACGCTAGCTTTATATTCTCGCTGAATTTATGCTTAACCTTTGAGCGAGAAAATAAATAGAATTTTAAGTAAAAATTATATATCCATTTTTATTGCTTAGCTATTGTATGAACCGGATCTTGACTAAACAAACACTTAACAGACCTCTCTTTTTTTAATAATGCACAGCGAAAAGAAATACAAGACGACATTTATTAACATATCGCTCATTATTCTATAATTCTCAAATTTATTTTTTATCCACAATGTTAAGGTAACCATAAAAGCACAAAGATCCATAACTTAGATAAGGTGAATTTTTATACATCCACCCACGAATATTTGTATTTAACGGATTAGAGTTATATCCATATGAATCGACAAAAATAATTAAATTAATGTACAGATGTTAAATAATTTTTCGAATTGTTCGAAAAAACACACATTTTAAAAGTTTGAGCGAGCTTATATCGGTACTAAGGTCAACGGGATAGGGATGTTATCCTACCGACGCTGTGCTCATCGCAGAATTATGAGGCAGGCAATTTTGCACATAAACTGTACTATGCACGAATGGGAAGTACCACGACCTCAAAGAAGACCGGCGTGAATTGGAAGTGCTATACTTCCGCGTTTCGTCTGGTGAGTGAGGTAGACGGGGCCCACTTTATTAAAAGGTGGCAACGCAGCTGCAACCCTACAAATGTGTTCCAAATGTCAATGGGCGGCGGTTAACACTCACCATAAGGTGAAACGCCAGCTCACTTATCACCTTCTCACATAAAAAAATATAAGAAATGTCGACGACGCACATTGATGCACCGTTGCTGGCATAATTATTGAAATATGTACTCTGTCCATCTTGAACAGTAATCATATCAATAATGAGCCAAGATAATCTGGTATTGGGGTCAAGAAAACAAGTGTGTTTTTGTTTTTGTATTTACTCCAAGTTTCCTTATCAGCGTAATTGTAACGTTAATTATTTTAATATTTAATTTTATTATTAGATCATTTCACCTTAAATTTTAACTTCAAATTTTTTGTTTAAAGTAAATATATAGGTGTCTCTCGGTATAATATAAGTTTATGTCATCTACATACTTCGAGTCATCTAAGTAATATCATCTTTTTATATTTAACGTTGTGTTTTTATTTAGTATCATCTCTATATAAAAGTTTCAACCATTTTGGATAATTCAAGTTCTATTTTGATTTATCTACTCAGCCAGTAACCAGGACGTCATTTGAGTCGATCTACGATCGATTCAACGCGTGTTTTTTCAAACACGCGCTATGACATTGGGATGATCTTCAATTTTACCGGAGCTATTACACTAAAACATTACTAGAAGCATATTATATTTACGGCTCTAGAGCTTTCTGGTATATGAACCACTGGAATTAGTATCAGACGTATTTCAGGAATTGAAATTTTAATAAATTCGTGACCTATTGTTTTGCAAATCTCAGATTCCGAGAAGCAACATAACACAAATCGTTGTTAAGAGAAAGTCCATTTCATTTTGGCAAGTAGTCCTTTCGCCACTTACTTTGATATTTATCTGTTAAATGAAAGTTATATAACAACCCGTCTCCATTTACCCGTAAACAAGTTGACATTGAAAAAGTCGTTGCAGTAATCATTTAAATTTCGCCCACTAGGTGAATCCTACTGCCTGACAGAATTAAAATTTGAAATAAAAAAAATACAACTAAATCTTACGCTATTTTCAGGTCAAATGTGGGAGTAAAAAGACTTTCCGTACTTTCTGATAGTTAGATTGCAAATCCCATCAAACGGAGTGACTTTCTACATGTAAAAATCTGTGGATAGAGAAGAGATTCGTGCTTTCCGCCATTGTTTGAGGAACGAACGTTAGTCTATCACGTCTACGTATTATTAAACGAAACTCATATTCGTATATATAATATTAGAGAAACCTGTTTTAAAGATTCCCCGATCACAATTTATCGATGGCGCATACGGCCATCCAAATGTTATATCGATAAATTATCACTCGTGACACAACACTCACCTGCGCAGACGCGAAGTAATAACACGAGAGTGTTACGCACAACACCAATAACAATCTGGGATCCATCTTGACACCGGTTTTAACGCACATAGTAACGGTCAAAATGTCATCACTAACTTAGTTATTGTAATAATCAAGTTCACCACTTCGTTCGACCTAATATCTAATTTAAAACGATGAAAATTTTAAATTCATTTTGCAATTTGAAGTTGAAAAATAAATATGAAACTTCTTATTTATATAAAATACAGAAGTAAAAGGTTGAAAGTAGTGTCAGTTCAAAATGTTAAATTGGGGTTTGACAGTTTGCATAAAAAGTTTCATATTTTTCTTACAAAATGCAGCCTAATACAAAGATCAATAAAGATTTGTCTTTCAAAAAAAGCAAGCAATCTTGTTACTATTTAAATGAGAACGAACGAACTATTTACGAATAGTAGAGTAGATTATAAATTTAATCAGTTACAAAATTAAAATGCTAACATAAATAGAACTCATTCAAGAATTCGTAAGTTTGACCTCGTTTTTGATGTCAACGTGCCGAAATGGTTTACCACTATCGTAAATGATGTAAATTTGATGTAAATCTGATAAATGAATTCATTGATTCTGTTACAATATAATCTAAACACAACCGACGATTTCAAACGGCGACAGAAGACGCTTGGTGAATTCACTTACGATTCAACTTTCAGAGCTAACCTATATCGATAGTGAAATTCCGGTCATCGATAAAAGGGACGAGCAACTAACTTGGATGCAACACTATTTCACTTATACGATCGTCTCGTAGTATTGTTCCCTTTGTAGAATCATACAGACGACCGTCGCGCCCGACGCCAGAATCGAGACTGATCGCTTCAAGACGAGCGGTGGTGCCATTTGATAGTGGCAAGTGATGGTGACTCCACGCCTCACTCGCCCCGGAATCCTGAACTGTCCTTGACAACTACAGCAGTGCATCTCATTGATGCGACGAGCTTCGAGTAACACTTTCGGCTTAGATTAACAGCGGCCATTTCATTCATTCGTCACGTTTTTGTAATCACTTTTCGAATTGCTTACGTCTTTTAAGACGAGGGTCGAGAGAAACGGCAGGTCTTTAGAGCCTACGACCAGAAGTGTTTGAATAGATAAAGTGTATCTTAACCAAAATCCTACAAAGACTAGCTTACCGATTTATTGCGTTTAACGGTATTTTCAAATACCGGTGTTTGAGATGCTGTCGACGTTAGGACAAAAAAAAACAAATAAAGTTGATAAAATCAGTAGTTATAGAAGTTTCATCTAACTAAGGTTCGCTAATTGCGTGGAGATATGTTAGAAAAATTAAAACCAAATGCAATAGCAATTTAGTTACAGTTCTAACGATCACTAATAGTTCCTTCCGTAGCCTATATCTAAAAGATATTGCTGTTTATTCGACACATTTGTATACCTTTTTCCTTTTTACAGCGAGTTCAAGGTGATTCTGCATTACAAATATTTCCAAACTTGCCTTTTCGTAGAATTAATTAAGGAATTTTTTTAATCCTTACTTTACCCGTAACCATTCTTATGTCTGCTTTATCTATTCGATGTTTTGTTAGTTCGGAGCAAATTATCGACTTTTATTTCATAGTTTTCAAGAGGTTATTAAAGGCACATTAATCTTCGTTATTTATCATTTACCTGCTTGTTTCTTTCGTAACACAAGACGTATTATTTTCAATATTGTTACGGCCTATACTAATTGACATGCCAGACACGAAAATGATTTGTTTAAACAGAAAATCGCTACGTCCTTGAACGATCATGGCATTTTACGTTGTGTTAGTTTCATCAATAGAGTATAAAAACAAATTAAAATCATTTCCCAATCATAACGTAACATTGTAACGAACCTGGGATGTTTCTTTAAATATGTAATTTAAAATATCTTCGTTTGATTTTTCATTTTATTGAATTTTTGTCTAGTGTGGAGCCCGATTAGCCTCTGATGTAAATTCTTTAAAAAAGAGGATACCTACGGAGTTTCTTTCGCCTGTTTCTTCTCCATTAGGGGAACCTCATTACGAAACAGTAGTAGATTTAAAGAATGAATATTGATAGATGAAATGTATATTTCTTACTTCGAAGAATAAATTATATGATTTGATTTGATTACGTAACTGGCTGTGTGTCTAAAATCAAGTGTCCCTGGGTTTACGGGCGTTCGGGATAATGACCCTGATAGTCTACTTTAATGGACCGGGATGTACAGCAACAGGAAATGTGCACTTATGTTGCTGTAATGAACTAATGTTGTCGCAAAGCAGTTACGGAACCGGAAAAGGTTTCGGAGGCCGTCATAACATATTCGGGGTGCCACCGGGGAGGTTTTTGTGGAAGTGCTTTGAACAGGGTATCTTTTGAAGGGCTTCTGTGGTTCAGCATCAATTTCTGGCTTTCTCTACGCACCGCATGTTTTTGAGACACTGTAACCATGCATGAATACGATCAGTCAAACCGTGATTTGACTGACAACTGCGTTCTGCGCACTTTCTCTAATGTTCCCGTGTATAAAGAATACGACAGTTTGAAAAGGCTCATCGGTTATAACTAATCATAATTGATACTTTAGCACTGTAGAATTTTTGAATTTAAACGAGCTTATACCAGAAACTTGTGTAAGCATTTATTAGCTGGCTCGAACTAACTATAACCAATTCGTACATGGAGTAAACTTCTCGCTACGTTTAGAAGTAGCAACCAGAAATATAAAACAACCTCACAAAGTCAGGCAATGCGAGAAAGACGCGGGCGACTAGGGTCGGGAATAAATATTAAAGTGGACAGAACTCCGAGGCACAGTCATTAATTACAATGTGCAATCACAACTTCTGGTTTGCACAAGTTCAATCATCTTACCAATATGCTCTTTTTTATGGGCAAAGTTTCGTATAGATTCAAAATTAGATTAAGTCGATACAAACAGAAGTTTAATGCGACTTACCTCATCGCTAGACTATTTCGAAATTGGCTTAGATCTGTACTATCGTACTTTTTCAACGAGTTCACGACAATAGATAGTTTTCGTCGTTGGCGTTAGGTTGGCTTTGTAAGTTTAGAATCTTTAATCAGTATGTAAATATCATATTAAGAAATCGCCCAATTAATTTATGTGAATACATAATGTAATCAATATGAATACACATAATAAAGAATGAATCATTTATAAGGCAGTAAGACTTATAAAGTAAACGGCTGTCTGTGGGCGATTGTAATATATATGCCATAATATTCCCATGATACTGTATTTGGTTTGGAGGGCATTCTTCGAAAATTTAGTCATACCGTTGACCATTCAGTGTGGGCATTAGAGCTGTTTATAAGAGTATACGCGTGAAACGAGAACCCTAATCTCTATATATAAAAATGAATCGCTGAATGAGTTGCTAAGCGTAAAGGCCCATTTACACGGTGCCAGTTTCTTGCCTGTTGTATACAATTAAATTGAAGCAATAAATGAGTTGCATGGTCTAAACAAGAAATGGTCTAAACAATTATTGCGCGCAATTTATTGCATTCAATTATTGCTCTTGTATGTTCAAGAAAATGGCATCGTGTAAATGGGCCTTAAATCTCGAGAACAGATGAACCGATTTCGCTAATTCTTTTTTTTTATAATATTCCTTGAACTACGACGATGGTTCTCACGGAGAGAAAAATTTAAAAAATTGCCTGAAAAAGTCTAAAAATGACACTTTTCTATATCCCCGTACAAAAGATTCGTAATAATACTTAAAAGTCAATTTGAACTTTAATACCATACCATACCATAAAGTTTAAGTGTCAGTGGAAGGGTTCAGGGAAGGCAAAACAAGTGAGTGACTGTGGTAAAATGTTACTTTAAATGTAAACTTCTCTTTGTTGTGCATCACTACATAGGATAAAACAAAGTCGTCCCGCTGTCTGTCTGTCCCTATGTATGCTTGGAACTTTAAAACTGCGCAACGAATCTTGATGCGGTTTTTTTTTACTAGATAGAGTGATTCAAAAGGAAGGTTCATATGTAAAATACATTGCACCCGTGCGAAGCCGGGGCGGGTCGCTATTAGTTCAATATATTTAACGTCAAACTTTGTATTCAAGCGGCTTGAGTTCGAAACCCGATTAAACTGTACCGTTTAGTTCTTTTGTATTCTTACGTAAAAACGGTGGCATATTATGAGGTTGTTCACCTGATGGTGACGACCACCTCCCATGGACCACCACAAAATCTGAGAGGTTGCAGCAGCACCACACTTTAAGAGGCTATGGCCATTTGTTCCCACTCAAGTGTTCTATTATTTAAAAGGTTATCGTGGATCAGGTTATACTTTTTGAAAGGCTGTTAACTTATCTACAAGCCCTCGTATGTTGCAGAAGTTGTAGCGTGGTGGTAATTAAGCGTTCACTTGACAACTTTTCACCAAAAAAAAAAAAAAAGAAAACTGTGGATGCTTTTCGAGTTGAAGGAATTAGAACATCTATGCTTTTGTATGTTTTGGTCTTCCCGGCCGTTGATTGAACAGACACGACTGGAAAGTACACCCGCATTAAGGAAAATAATATCAGCCGTCATCCATGATAGCGTACTCTACTGTCTTTTTTTATGTGATAAGTCGATGTTGAGTAATCACCACAGGACAGGCCTGGAAGATGCGTTGACTACTTTCAAATTAAGTGGGCCCCGGCTACCTCACTCACTTCCACTTCACGCTCGTCTTCTGTGAGGCCGTGGTACTTCCCCGGACCCCCGCCCATTAGTGCAACAGCCGAAGTTGTTGCGTGGCCCCACCACTATTATGTCTTCCTATAAAGTTTTAGCCGTGATAGCTCAGTGTCCGGGCGCTCGCTTTAATTCAATATACTCGAGCAACCTGAGTTCGATCCCCGGTGCCGGCACCAATGAAGTTTTCAACTTTAAGTGCTGACTTATCACGTGCTCCGCGGTGAAGAAAAACATCGTGAGGAAACCTGCATATCTTCGAAATAATAACAAAAAAAATATATATTTCGAAAATATGTGAAGTCCGCCAATCCGCAGTGATACCCTCTGTATA